TCGCTGAATGAAAACATTTACATCTTCGTCGATTCACTGATTTGAAGTAAAGCTTTATGTTACGTTTCCTTTCAGAATTGGTATGGAAATGATATCAAGATGAGATTTTTGAAAAACTGCAGGAATATACTTGCTGAAAGACTTTGTTTTGACACTTTAAATGATGTTTGATTAGCCGCTTCGACGTGCCGGCACTTCAGCATCACCGACGAAAAAATTCACAAAGCCACAAATAACACATGAAAGCATTGGTCGTATGAACTCCGTTTCATGGATAAGAAGGTGGAATTCATGTTCATAGAGATTTTTTATTGAACTGGTATCTGGTAACAATATCAAACTGAAGATAATTTTATGCGAGCGATGCAGTATGAAGTTTAGAAACTCCTTTAAGGTCCAAGTCCGACAAATTTCAAGACATTGTAACGATTCTGAAGAGATCGAAGGGACGATGAAACGCACGATGAAAGAAAGCCAAGAACTGTTGCGTATGTATTATGTAGTTGATTTATTAAGAGCTCTCAACCGACGAGGAATAGGATTACAGGCAGTGGAAATGCAAGCACGTCGAACTTGTGCAGATTTCCRAAACAGAAGGAAGTCTCTTGTGAAAACTATTATGTCATGGAAGTTAAAGGATGCACTGACGAAGTTAAGGAACCAGAGGTATGTCAACACCAGAGTGTGGCGGGAGACTAAGCCAATGTTAACAGCGAACGATGTATTCTCGACTTTCACCCACGTGACCTCTCACTTGACAACGGTTGCTATCCGCCATTACTGTGCTCCTCGAGAATAAACAAACAAAGAGATGCATGGTACTTTTACTGAATATGGTTCATTGTATAGTGTTTGGATGTACTTCTAAAAGCGGAAAAACTCGAGTTAGCTTTCATACAATACCCAAAGTTGTATCTAATCAAGGAGAAGAGCACGAAGAGCTCACGAGAGAGAGGAGAAGGCGCTGGATTTCAGCGATCAGTCGAGGCGATACASAGACAAAAAGAATCCTCGAGAGTGAACGTGTATGTGGACTGCACTTTGTTAATGGAAAAGCTGCAGCTTCCTGGGATAGATATCACATCGACTGGGTGCCTACTCTAAACCTTGGAAAGCAACAAACTAAGAAAATTACAGTTGATGATCATAAAGAAGGAGTGAGCTTGAGGGCCGAAAGGGCGAAAGAGCGCAGGAAGAGAAACATTGAACGTCAACAACTTGAAGCTGCTAAGAAAAGAAAAGAACTTGATCAGAGTGGTCTGCCTGTTCAGAATATAGATTTTGCCACTGCTAGCTCATCGAATGACGACGTTTCAAGCTTAGAKCCTTTATATGTCGATGAGGCCTGTGGAAGTACAAGCGATGCGGAATATTGTGATGGCACCGAGATGGAGAAGGGAACTCAAACAGTCGTCCACAAAATGGTTGAACGTTCCACTTCAACTGAGGACTTTGAAGTAATTTCTGAAGGGAGGAGAAATAGAGGAACACAGACACTAGAATTTAATTATTTGTTTCAGAACTCTGTGTATCGTGCTCCAGACAAGGATTTCTTCGATTCTTCAGAGAAAGTTCGCTTTTACACCGGATTGTCTTCGTTGGAAGTACTTATGGTAGTGTTCGAACATGTAAGTCCGTATGTGTCGCGACGATCCGCTTTAACCAGTTTGAGCAGCTTTCAAGAATTTATTTTAGTTTTGATGAAACTACGGCTAAACGTACCATTTCAAGATTTAGCATATCGTTTTGTGGTGTCCTTGACAAGCGTGTCAAGGATATTTACCTCATGGATACATGCAATGGACTCAAGGTTGTCTGCCTTCATTTATTGGCCAGAAAGMGAACAGCTATGGAAAACAATGCCAATGTGTTTTCAATATACCTTTGGTCATAAGGTAACTGTGATAATTGATTGTTTTGAGGTTTTTATTGAGAAARCCACAAATCTTATGGCCAGAGCTCAAACCTTTTCATCRTACAAGCATCACAACACTGTTAAGGTTCTGATTGGAATTACACCCCAGGGAACTGTCTCTTTTGTTTCTGAGGCTTGGGGAGGAAGAACCTCAGATAAATTCTTAACRGAGAATTGTGGAATCCTAGAAAAACTGATACCAGGAGATACTGTAATGGCAGATAGAGGATTTACAATTTCAGAAAGTGTTGGATTGAAACAAGGAAAGCTAGTGATTCCTGCATTCACCAAAGGAAAAGCTCAACTAGACCCAGTTGATGTAGAGCGTTCAAGAGGCATAGCCAATGTTAGGATCCATGTTGAGCGAGTTATAGGTTTATTARGAAGGAAATACACTATCCTAGAAGGAACACTCCCTACTAAATTCTTGAGTTGTGACCCAAATGGTCCCGCAGAGAACCAGGTACCRATAATAGATCGTATTCTAAGAGTTTGTTCAGCACTTGTAAATTTTTGCCCATCAATTGTACCATTTGATTAGCTAGATTTTCATATGAATTTATTATTTCAGTTCTAAAATAATACCCTAGTGGGAGCCTTCCCAGAATCCTACAGGATATTGGGTCCTTGATTACTCCTTTGTTCARATCTTAGCCATAAATGCTACAATTTAGATTCTATAGTGTTGCTTATGCTAACAGGCTAAGATCATTAGTAAGAACCAGGCTTAAAAGAGCTAATATACATGATTACAAATGTTTCGTTCACAAATATGTTTTTGTAAAGTGCCAATCACTTAAACCGAGAACATCAATTTTTGTGATGCAAATGCATGTCTAGGTTGGCAAGCTCAAAATTGATTGTAATTTAAGTGATTGAGACTTTCACTAAAAAGCAACAAGAAAATATACAAATTGTTGAATTTTGTAGTTTGAAGCAATATAAAATATTTATATATTGAATATTTATTAATAATAAAAATGTTTTCAAAATTAAAGGTAGCATGCAACAGACTTAACTGTTTTTAGTTTAATTAATATCTGTGAAAAGCAAAATGGCCACAATGTTTGCACTATATTTCACTAAATTTATCAAGAAATTAAAAGGATGGAAACATACTYATTTTCCTATCTTTGAGACATGATAGTAAGTGTGGCCGCATTCTGGGAATGTCAAAAGTAAAGTSACTTGGGTTAGTTGCAAAAGACAAACATGTTGCAAATGCAATGGAGAAGACCCCACAGTCACTACCATTGTTCTGTTGCTGGACAGGAACAAAATCTAAACTAATTAAATTTCCACCCATGAGGTCATTGGTCTGATCTTCTACTTCTTGACTAATTACATCACTGTACAAACTGTCATACAAGTTAACATATCCAGGTTGACATCCCAGCGAGCTTACACAGACCCAGTGATTTCCTCCAGTGTGTAGAATCTGTATAAATTCACTTGACACTATGTCAAAGTTTCTGACTCTCCCAAGAGTTGGTCGCTGAAAGCCTTCGATTGCTGGGTTAACTTCCTTTAGCAGGACTTGAGCACATTGGATTATGTCACCGGTAAGCCATCCAGCTGGATCACTAATGATGTCATAGTCTGAGTTGTTTAATTTAGCCAGAATACCATACTTATTAACAGAACCAGAACTAGTTGACACTTTGGTAATTGTTATTTCATCATCACTATCATTATCAGCATCTGACGAGTCTGATGTTGCAGGTGATGTAGGTATTGAAGAAGTACAAGAGGTAGGTTTAGTAGCAGCAGGCATTGTACTGTCCTTTGTTCCTCGACATATGTAACATAGCCATGTTGTTTTGGAATTTCTCGGCATTCTTTGCAATCCCAAGCATTTCAGATGGAAAAAATTCCCATTGCTGCAGTGTACATTATGGCACTCGACGAGTCTATCTGACATGGCTGGTTTTTCTTTACAGATACAAATTGTAGGTTTTAACATAGCACCTTGGTTTACTTGAGATTGTGCACCTTTACCCTTTGCTCCTTTTTTGAATTGTGGTTGTTTACAGCAGTGAGGGCAGTACCATTGCTTTGGCATTGTAACATTATCTAAGGAGAGGCATTTAGTATGGAATTGGCCATATGGACAGTTAGTATTGMCACAGGATACAACGTCATCATTMGGCTGTCCTCTACAGAAACATACTGCATTATCATTGAGTTTGCTCTCAGGTAGATRACACCGTCTGGTGTACCATCTTCCAAGTATTTCTGGAAGAATGCAAATTCTCCAAAATTGTTCTAGCTTTTTCATAACAGTGCMCGAGTGCCCTGGGTCAGGGTTTATTCTATCACATAAAACATGRGAATTCCCATCAGAATCAATGGCAAATACAACAAAGTCACAATATTTTCGATCGGATAATGTAAACAACTGCTGCTGTACTTGATAATAATAGTTGTGCGATTTCTTCAACTTTAATATTCCATTCACATTTTCGAGACATGAACTTGCTTTCAAGCTATATTCTTTGAAGTCACCGTTTGTGACAGAAATGGGACACTTAACTTCACCGCAACCTAATCCACAGCAATCACAGGATACTAAAAAATCTGGTGTAGCATGTATAAAAGGGAAGTCTTTGTTTATAAAAAGTCCACATCTCTTAATTTCAWAGTTAGTATGAAGCGATTTCATATGGTGTTCATACGTTTTGATGGCTTGCTCCTCGTATTTACATCCATGTTTTGTTGCCTTGTTGTTTATTTTAAACAGATGAGGATAGCAGATTGAGTGAATGAGACTTTGAGAAGGTTGAGCGAGATTTCCATGGAACACAGCACCACAGACAGAGGCTCCAATTCTGKCAGCACGATGCCTAAAAAATCCTGCACCTTTAGCTTGACTACGTGTGTCCTGTTCYACGATGTCAATTTCTTCGTCGGAAATGTTAATCTGTACTTCCGAACATTTCTGTAAAAGCTCGATAAATTTCACATCCAAATAACTAGACTTGTAAAGATCTGTTAGAACTGGTATATTTCTACTCTTTGAAATAAATTGATCGGCATATGGATCAATTAAACTTAATATTGAAGCCTTTGTTTCACACTGGTTTAGCTTTTTGTAAAATTCTGTCACATCCTCCGCTGAAACGCTAGGGGTCGTGTTTTTGTTCGCTGAATCGCCAACAGTTCGAGTTTGATGGGGAAATCCATCAAAAGTTTCAATTTTATTGTCAAGTTTTTCCTTCAATTTTTTAGAAGAGAAATCAATTTCTTTTGCCCTTGCATAGTTAACATGACTTACATAAGTTGGAAGAAGCCACGAGCATTTCGTTTGCGTACACGCCAACTTTCCATTGATTCGAGTCCAACATTCGATATAAAATAAAGCACTAGCAACGTGTGAGCACGATTCAGCAAGACCTGCCTTACAGCCCAGGCAATGAGCAGATAAAATTCTTCCATCTTTACCTGTAATAAGCCAGATATCAACGGGAGGATCGTTCATACGTTGTGAATGTCGGACTTTAGCGACGACTGTATACTTATCGGAAACAATTCTTCCCTTGACGAACACTACAAACCCAGAAACCACTTGATTATATGCTTCGAGACTTTTGTAGTTCTTAAACTGGTCGTTAGTATAATGACTTGTTTCCAACACTAAGAAGGAGAACAYGTCTGACTGCTCTATTGGCGGTAAACACTCAGGATCAAGCTCTTCATCTGGAATAGTAGCTGGATCGATGCCGATTTCTTCAATTTTCTGGAWMTYACGAGTCTTTATATTACCCTCTAGTGATGTAGCGTATTTAGACAATACTGGRACTGACATTTTRAGGTCTATAAAAGCGCTTTTCGATGAGAAAATTTCAAAACGCTACAGAGATGGAATCTTTTACATACATTTACTTAATGCGAGGGGCTCAGTAATGGCGGACGCTGTAATTGGATATGCCTTTGACGTCACGNACAGATCAGGCTAAGAGAATATACTATCCACAATGCTTGCCAAGTGTAGATTACACCCCATATCGAGAAAGCCCATCCTGCTGGAGTGATTTTGGAACTATACATTCTAGAAACATCCCCGGTCGAGAGGTTGCTACCATACAGATCAGCGAGGAACTCTGGTCTTTCTTCGAGGAGTAGCAAAAGCATTCACGATCATCATAATGATGTATGCAATGAGAGTGAGAAGAGTGAAAACAGAGCGGACAACATGAGAGGACACCATCTTGAACGCTTTACCGAGTACTGTAAACTCCGGGTAGAGAGTCAGTTTTATATCTTTGTTGTATTACATAATCTTGCACGTGCAGATGTTATCGATCGCGTGACCACGTGAGAATCTAAATTGCATAGTCATTCACGATGATTTTCTAACTTTTTACATTGTACAAGTAAGCTGCCCTTAAGATTACACTAAAATCATCAAATCCAAAGAGTTCCTGCTAGAATAAAATTGTTTTCTGTTGGTGGGTGAAGGGAGGATGTGTATAACCTCTCCTGAGACATAACACTCTAATTTTGTTTTTGTGATCAGACACAGAAGACCATGCACTATTGTGTATGCAGCCCTCCTCAAAACTTCAAACGTGCCATCCCTGAAGAAAAACCCTGGGTTCCTCTGTGATGAAAAACCATTCCCCAGCTCCCTKAGAACCTCTGTTTATGCATATTTGCATCCCATGTGTAACCCAAACATCACTTTACGTTGATTAATTTGAWGAGTACTTCATCTCTGCATATTACATCATGTTGTGACAGTCAAGTGTACATAACTTAATGTTGGTTGTCATGTAATTTTTCCTTGGAGATATTCATGCAACTTGTATTTTTAAAGAAAATCACAGGGATCCCATTTGTATAACCATGACAACATGKAGGGTAATGGGTAAAGATAGAGGCTTTGTGCTGCCGCTCCTCTAGAGCCTCCATGTAGGGTATTGGTAAATATTTCTAACTTAACAAATAGCCAGTATATGTAAAATGGGACACTGAGACTCAGCAAGCAGTCATACCAATCTCTGTACTACATCTTACTGAATAATGCAATGCTCTTGATCATAATATAGTCAGAGCTTTGGTTTGTACCACTCAACCTCAAGCTACATTTGTAAGTGTTGCTTGCACAGCCTTCCTGTCCATTGACATAATTACGTGTGACTTTTTTAAACTGAATTTTCTCCATCAAGTTTTTCRATTTCATCCATCCTTGGTCATAGTCACTCATTCGTGATTTAAGAGGGTGTGGGTGTAATATAGGAATCATCACACATGTACAAAGATATTTTTTACTGTGAAAAAATAACAAAAATGCTG